TAAAATACAAAGGTCAGAGCTGTCAGCACAGCTTTCTGTTGGTGACCAAGTGGCAGGAAGGTTGATTCTGGTCTTGGGGGTCTTGGGCTCTGAGCTCAACACTCATTCAAGGGAAGAGTCAGTAGGGAGTGTAGGATTCACGAGGGGCCAAAGGGCAGAGACGGCCCCGGCCGTACCCCGTCTGTTCGGGGATGCGGTCAAGGGATCCCCAGCAGCCCCAGGGCCCCCCCTAACCTTTAACGGACAGTGTGACTGGAGACACCCACCATGTGCCAGCGAATGCTACCCTTGGGGTCATCACCAACAGCTCTGTCCTCGCCTTCCTAGTGACACCGCCATGGGCTACGACACCCTCCTGCAGAAGAAAGGGCGGGGGGGGGGGGCCAGATGCGGCCCGTCCAGCAGGACCCGAGGAGAGATCCGAGGCTAAAGAACCCATCTCCCCGTCCTGGAGAAAGTGCAGAGGCTCCACCTTCTTAGAACTCTGCCGCCTGGAAGAGGCACGCTGGAAAATTCCACCGGGGCAAACGAACCTTGCAGATCTGGGAAGCAACCAGTCCCAGCGAAAAGCCGCGAGCAAAGAGTCAGAATGAGATACCAGAACGCCAGGGAGCCCTCTTAACGCTTGGATTACAAGCCCTGGAGTCTCCAGGCCACAGAGACGATCGTTTAATAAATAGTCAAAAAATGCAATCCACGGTCACACGGGCTTGAACGGGTCTCACCCCTGGCTGAAAGGACCCGAGCCTCTTCTCCAGCGGGGTCATAAAGAGCAGCGGGGTCTGTGATGTGAAGGGGGCCCTCGCTGGTCTAACCCCTGTCGCACACCTGAGTCGCCAGATCTTTCTACCTACGCGCTGAAGCCCAGCTGTGTAGAGTAAATTGTTACGAGAGGGGGCGGCGGCCGGAACGGTGGTGTGCGGGTCTGAGTTTGGCAGCCTGGGAGGAGGCGAGCCCTGCACCCCACTCACACGGCCAGGCCCGACCACCACTTCTCGCCAGAGCTCCCCGTCTCTGGCCCCGGGGCACCCCACTCCCCAGCCTGGGTGCCCCTCGTGTGTTCTTTCTGCACCTGAGTCTTGCTGGTACCGGCCCCCAGACCGTCCACACTGAGACCCCTCCCCGAGGGTTGTTCCTGGGCTTTTCAGGTGGTTCCACGGCCTCATCTGCTAGCAGCCGCCTCCCCACCCATGCGACCCAGCTGAGTCCCCCTCCCTGCCCCTCCCCTGACCTGGACCCCACCAGGACCCCACCAAGAAGCACATGTGCTTGCCAAATGCACGAGGAATGCAACTGAACGGGAGAACAGAGCAGATGTGAAATAACAAATCATCCAGAATTGTCCACCTGGGCAGACTCCGTTTCACTGGCAAGAGGGCAGACTAAACAACATTGAAATCCTTGCCACAGAAACAATAACACGGGAAGTTTCCTTAAAATGACAGCATGCCGCTCTCCACACCTTTTATCCTTTTCAAGAACTGGACTATGTGCACAATGCCCGGTGTTGCGGCAGCCATTCTGGACTGTGAGGACGCCTGGGAACAGAAGCCACGCAGAGTGAAACATAACGAAGACCCTCAGCCCTGCACTGACCACCTGACGTGTTGCTCATAAGAAAGAAACAAGCTAATAAACTTCTGTCTTAGCTAAGCCACTCTGGCTTGGGTTTTTTATGTGATTCATGGATGAAATGGACCCTTTTCTAACAGGAGATCTTGGCTCTCTGTCCTGATGACTGCATGAGGCCTGGGGGTCAGGGGACAAAGCCAAGAGAGGGAGTTTAACAGGAAGCCCTCAGCCTGAAGCTGGGGCCAGAGAGCTCCATGTTTGGTGTGAGAACTGGAGATAAATCCACAGTGTAGACAGAAACCTGCCTACTTTTACCTTGCTCCTGGGACTAGGTGAAAAGTACACACACACACACACACACACACACACACACACAAGCAAAATCATTGCCAGATGGATGAACATTTGCTAATTCAATGATAAAAGATTCAATTTACAAGAAAGATATAACAATATGTAACGTTTTAATCTTGTAATGGAATAAAGCCCTACAGTAAACAAATCAAAGGTCGACAGAACTTCAAGCCAAAAAGTCACAAAGCTGCATTCGGTGTAGAAATCTGAATACACTTCTCGAGACAACAGTTAAGCAGACAAAAATCCGTTACAAGACAGAAGACTTGAACTACGGTATTACCAAGCTCCATCCAAGGGTATACCTGGGGCGTTCTTGCCAATAGAGAACTGAAGAACACACATTTTCTTCGGTGCTTGGGGGACGTTCAGGATAATACACCACACACTATGTCAAAAAGCCGGTTTCTACGGACTCAGGCAGGCCACGTTCACCTGTGTAGCTGGCAAAATAATGCCCCACCCGCACCCCCGACACCCCACAAAGATGTCCATGCCCTAATCCTCAGTCCCTGTGAATATATTACCCTAGATGGCCAAAGGGGCTTTGCAAATGTGATTAATTAAAGATCTTGGGATGAGAAATTATCCTGGATTATCTGGTGGGCATCATGCAATCACAGGGTCCTTGCAAGAGGGAGGCGCGAAGGTCAGAGTGTGGGAGGGAGGCGTGGCGATGCAAACGAGGGAGGCGTGACAACGCAAACAAGGGGGCGTGGCGATGCAAGCAAAGGAGGCGTGGCAATGCAAACACAGGTCCCAGTCAGACAGCTAGGCTGTTTTACTGCTCACCGCGCAGATGGAGAAGGGGCCACAGGCCAAGGCACGTTCTCCCCAAGAGCCTCCGTGAGGGGTGCAGCCCCACAGACACCCCGATTTCAGCCCAGTGAAACCCATTTCAGGCTGCTGACCCCCGAACTGTAAGAGAACAGATTTCTGTTGTTCTAAGCCACCAACTTCGTACTAATTTGTCATGACAGCTACTGGAAGCCGGTACACCAGACAGTCAAGTTAGGACCGCATTAAAGAAAGGTCACACAAAACCCCTCCTACATTTAAACATTCAGGAAACCTCACCCACCTCTCACCGTGGTTCTCAGATTGCCCGCTAAGCTCTAGAGCGAAGCCCCCACTCCCCTTACGCCCTGCCTACGTCCTCTCTCGTCTCTCCCCAGGGATGCTCTGCTCCCAGGCTCTACCAGGACCACAGCGAGAGGTACCAAACAGAAGGGTGAACAGAGGAGATGTGTGCGATCTGGGGGGGCGGGGGCAGTCCGGAGGGAGCAGCAAGGGGGGCGACGGGATCCATGGCCTTGGGTAGCTTTGGTGCTTAGTGTGGGGTCTAGGGTTATCCGGTTCTCCACCTGGAGGCTGCAGCAGCACACCTGTCTCCCTGGGGACTCACAGCACCTCCCCAGGCGGGGCGGGGTGTTGAGATGCTGGGTGAGGGCGGTGCCATGCTCAGATTCTCCCTGCTGGCCGGCCCCCCCCCCCCCCGAGGGAGCCGACAGTCCTGCTCAGAGACTCAAGAGCTGCCAGGACCCGGGTGAGCCAGGCTCCCGGTCTCTGCGGAGCCCTGAGCATTGCTCTGCTGCCTTCCCGGAGGACCCTGGCTTCAGTCTCACAGCCTGCAAGGGCACCGATGCCGCGCCCGTCAAAACCAATAAGCCCGCGGGCCCCCACAGCGGCCCCACGGGGCCTCACAGGGGCTCCACGGGCCACAGCAACGACCGTAGCCGTGGGACCTAGTGCAGCTCGACATTAACTTGGCTTGGGGAGGGCGCAGCCACCGTCCGCTCCCAAGGCAGTCGCGGTCTGGGCGGACCTGCAGTGGCTTCCACACACGGCTTCTGAGAAGTTTAAGAATATCTCGGAGAGTGGAAGAAACCATCGCACAAGGTTTTCGTGAAGAAAGCTTAAGCAAGCTTGGCAGGAAACATGTTTTGGTGCCAGAAAAGCAGAAGCCAGGGGTATCAGCATTTGGGCCGCCTCTTGCCTTCTACCACGTGCTCCCCACCCCGCCAACAGCCGGCCCGTGTGCCTTGCCATATGTAGCAGGGCTCCCCGGCATGCCTATCTGGCACCCCATATCTTCGGCTCGCCTGGGGTGCACCGGGCCTGGTTCAACCCCACCTGAGACACGGTCGCAACAGAGTGTGGAGAGCTGATCAGTCCCCAGATTGATCCGGGAGCTGCCGATGCAGAGGAAGGCTCTATGTGGTGCCCCTACTGGGGTCCCGCCGGGCTGGCTGCAGGGTGAGCCCCTTAGGAGCCCCCTGCACAGCCGCACAGCACTGCACCAGGGGCATGGACGAGCAAGGCGGAGCCCACACTACGTGGCCTCTGGGGTGAGCGCACAGCTCTCCCTGTGGACCCCGTGGAAACTTCTTGATCCGAGTCAGGACAGTGGTGGCTGTGACCTGCTCTGAGTTGACAGTGTGGGACTTCACCTGAGCCCCGTGCTCTCAGAAACTCCAGAGGTTAAGTACCCCACCCTGTGCTCCAGCAAAGAGCTGTGGCACGACGTCCCTGCCCTGTGGACTTAGACAAGCTGTGCCCGTGCCCCTGTTAACTTGCGTCAGGCCAGGCACGGACCTCCAGGTTCCCATTCCCTGCTCATAAAAGATTAGCCAAACTGGACCACATGGACGGCTGGACAAAATGCCGGTAGTGAGCCGGACCGATTTTAGTCGGGCCTCCCCCCCCCCCCCCCGCAACAGGCCCAACTGTGCCCAGCCCCGCGGTGGGCAAGAGCCCACTGCACAGCCCTCCTGAGAACCAGTGGGCACAAACCAGATGCCCCCTGCTCATGACCCATCCAGCCCTGCACCCTGTGTGCTCCTCCCTAAAGGAAACACCTTTCCCCTTACCTTTGAGACGCTCCAGATCTTACACTGAATTAACCCCCTCCTGATATGACAGCCCCTCCCCTGTTGTAACAAGTCCTCCCCGTGTAATAGCCCCTCCCCCATATTCATAGCCCCGCCCCTGTTGTAATAGCCCCTCCTCTATATTCATAGCCTCTCCCCGTAATAGCCCCGCCCATAGTAATAGCTCCTCCCCTGTTGTAATAGCCCCTCCCCCATTGTAGTAGCCCCTCCCCAATTGTTACAGCCCCTTTCCTGCTCTAACGACTCCTCCCCCTATGGTTATGGCTCCTCCTCTGCTACAACAGCCCCTCTTCTGTTGTCATAGTCCCCACCTCTGTTGTAACAGCCCCTCTCTTATTGCAATGGCCTCCCCACCCCCGCAGTCATCTTCAAATCAAGCGTCTCCTTCCCTAGCCCTGACTTACTCTCCATCTGACACAGGAGTCAGTCCCAGGCACAGGGCAACAGTGCCTCCTTCTCCATGGGACGCTGCCTCGAGCCTCCCTGGACTTCCCTGCGGGGATTTTCTAGAGTCAGAGCTGAGCCCCTACTCTCCTAAAATCCACAGGGTGTCCCGTGAGCCCCTCACCCCCTGAACATGGTGGCCTGGGGGGTCTCTTCACTTGGCGGGGGAGTCCCCACACTCCACTACGTGCTGGCTGCCCGTGCCCGTCCGCTCAGCCGCCTGGGGTGGTGCATGACTGCAGGTGACTCCTGGTAGACTAGGGTGGGGGACCGCGACGGTGAGGGCCCTTCCAGGAGGGTGGAGGCAGGGGTCCCCTTCCAGGGTACCTTCTGAGAACAGGACCTCCCCTGCCCCAGCCCAAGGGGCTCTCAACCCAAGGGGCTCTGAACCCAAGGGGTTCAGCCTCTCCTTCACCGAAAGGGCTCAACGGAGGCAGATTGTGCCACGGAGGTGCTCCAGCAGCATGAGGCAGGTTCCTGGAAAGCTGGGCCGCGTGGGAGTGGACGGCCAAGACCCTGGCCGAGCGCCGGGCCTGGCGGGCGCTCAGCAAATGCCACTGGAGCCTGAGAGACCCTGATGGGGACACCGCCATCCCCAGTGAGCCGTGAGGTGCTGAGGCAAGCACGCGGCTCTCAGCCAATTTCCAGAAGAACGCGCATTCCTCCTAGAACATCCACTTAAAATTACATTAAAAAATTAACAAGCTGGTCTTGGAGCGGAGGAATGGGTTTCGGCACAGAAGGAGAGAAAAATCGGAAAAAAACGGGTTCTTCCAGCCCAATTTCCCTCATAATTGGGTGTCTTTTGAGCTGGTTAATTAAACAGCATTTTCCCCGAGTCAGAGAGCTGAGTCTTGGCACCGAGGGCGCTGTGCAGACGGCGCGTGACACACGGGTCTGGCGAGTCTCTATAAAAAGCGACCCGGGTCGCAAGCAGGCTGTCTGCACCGCAGCCGGAAGACCGCACTCCTCCTGGAAAGACGGTAACGGGCCTCCGCCTCGCCCACCAAGCTGGCGGGGCCGCTCCCACCAGAACCCTCGCGTATCCCCTTCCTGAGCAGCAAGCAATCACGTCTGTGCACGTCCGTGCGAGGCTACAAGCCCACTCTTTAATAATCCTATTTCTGCTTAATCCCAAGTGGATTTGTTTTGTGTCTGCCAAGAGCAGTAGACCCCCCCCCCGCCCCGAAAAATCCAGCGTGTTGCCGGGTCACGTTCGCCAGCGGGAATGCTGCCTCAGGCCAATGAAAACCCTATTTGCAATCATGCGACCTTACTGAATAACTGGCCCGGTTTCTGCCCCATGCCATGTGACGGGGAGGGGGCAGCTGCGGGGCGGGTCCAGGCTCCCCCACAGGCCCGGGGGGGCGTAGATGCCAGGCTGTGACACCTGCGAGGGCGGGGACGGGCTGGCTGCCCCATCTTGTAAGAGCCAGGTAACAGCTGGCACCTAGTAGGTGTTGAGTAAACGCCCGCGAGCGCATGAATGCTACAATGAACGGAGCCATATCTCAGCCGTGTAGAACAACCACCAGAGAGTGTGTCACAGAATCGTGGCAGCAAATTGGGACTGGGCACTTGGCAAGTGCCAGGCCTTAGGGCAAGGACGATCACATAATGTGGATTGTAGGAAGCACCCATCTGGTCCTTGCCCCTTGTTCCTGGCACACGGCCACTAAAACCCCTGAAATCTCCAGAGGGAATAGGAACGTCTTTTGTGTGCTACTGGGAGGACTGGGGGCTGGGGGCCCCGGGGCTTCAGGATGGGGCCGGTGGTCAGAAAGGCCAAGGCTGGGAGGCCCCACACCCTGATCTCCGGAGGGGAGAGGGACTGGAGCCTGAGTTGTATTCTGTATATAATGAGCCGGTAACAGGAAGTGAAGCTGGCTCTTCCAGTTCTGTGAGTCGTTATAGCAAATTGCCAAACCTGGGGAGGGGAGCGGGGAGAGGAGAAGGAGGGAGAGGAGCCTGCCCCGTCACACAGTCTCTACGAGGGCCCAGCATGCTGTCCTAGGAAGGTGTATTTCCTGCAGGCAGAAGTAAGTTCCATCCCACCCTGCTGATCGCTGATCTCTGATCTCTCGCCGCCCCAGAGCCCACCCTGGAAGCGGGCAGGGCAGAAGCGTGTGAGGGGAGAAAGCCTGGCCTGGGGCCCTCAGGTCGACCAAGAAGTCTGCCTTCCTTGGGCCAGCCACGTGGCCACGGCACCTGGGCAGAAGGAGGGACGGGCCTCCTTCATTCTGTGATTCCTGAAAATGCATTCCTGTCACTTCCCACTCAGGGCCACGTTCAGACAGCGCATCAGGAAGCAAACACGTAGGACAGCCACCAAGGTCGACAAGCACACTTATTTTGTTTTTTTTTAAGAGACAGAGAGCACCACGCAAGAGCAAGCCGGGGGACGCAGAGAGAGAGGGAGAGAGGATCCCCGGCTGGCACTGTGCTGTCAGTGCAGAGCCCGATGTGGGGCTCAGTCCCACAAACCGTGAGATCGTGACCCGAGCCGAAATCAAGAGCTGGCCTCCCAGCCGACTGAGCCACCCAGGCGCCCCGAGCACCCTTGTTTTATACTTGGGAGGGAAACTGAGGCTCAGAGGCTGACACACACAGCCGGTAGGACAGCACTGGCATGGGGACCAGCACCCTTGATCTCGATAATCCAGCCCTTCTCATTCTTGTTTTATTTCCCTAGAGACCGGGGCATTTTGAAGGCAGGAGTTGAGCGTCTTTTATTTTATCACTGGACCTCGCTTGGCTACGGGCAGACATGCTCCAGGGTAGCTGAAAAAAATGAACTAAAACCTGCCTCCAAGTGGAGAGTGTCGGGAAGGATCTATGTATTTATTTCTTTTTAATGTTTATTTATTTTTGAGAGAGAGAGACAGAGACAGAGACAGAGACAGAGTGTGAAGGAGTCACAGAATCCGAAGCAGGCTCCAGGCTCCGAGCCGTCAGCCCAGAGCCCGACACGGGGCCCGAACTCACGCATCGCGAGATCGTGACCTGAGTGGAAGTCGGTCGCTCAACCGACTGAGCCGCCCAGGCGCCCCGGGAAGGATTTCAATAAATGCCCATTTCATTCCCGCAACAAGAGCGCTCTGGTTTACGAGCAGGGAGCCCCGAGCGGCCCTGTGTTCTGTGCAGGCTCCCGGGAGGCGCAGGGGGACACGGGGGTCTGTCTCGCCATAATGACACTGTCACTCACTCCAAATTGGGCGGTTTCCGTACGAGGAGTCACAACTGCCCAGCTCCAGCGCTCTGCTACTGATTGGCAATGAGAGCATCTGCCAGTCACTGCCCACGTCCGCGCTTGCTGTCCACTCTCCGCCTGGGGCCGTCATGCAGCGGTAGGTAACCAGAGCGGCCCCTCACTGGCATTGGCTTTGGAGTAGCATTTATCGAATGCCTACCAGGAGCCAGACGTTTCGTTTGCTGGTCATTCATTCGTTCACTCACTCGTTCATTCACTCAACAAATCCTCACAATGTTACGAACTAGGGGTTATATTCTAGGAAGGGTACGCTGGGCCTTGGGCAAGTTCAGCTGCGGCCCCAGCACCCGGACACGTCGGCGGACCCCGTCTCGCGCATGCTGTGTGTCCGCGGCGGGCCGACGAAGGCTCGGCTCCACCCGGCCCCCCCCGGGATCCAGGCCAACGGGGCCTTCGCGCTCTGCAAGGCTTGGCTTTCCCAGCCGTTGAGACGGTGGGGAGAGGGAAGCTTCTCAGGGTCGCTTCCTCTCCCAGGGGGCAGCACCTGCTGTAACGGGGCGGGGAGTGCATTCACCCGAGGAGCTGCACGGAAAGGGCACCTGGGTGCGGGTAAGCACCATCGCCTTCTCCTGCTCAGAGAACTCGGACACCCAGGCTGGAGGAGACTCAGCTCACTGCCAGGGTCACAGGGCTGGTAAGCCAGCTGCGGAACAGGCCTGCGGGGCTCCAAATATACCAGCGAATTCCAGGAGAGCCTGTGCCTTTTTTTTTTTTTTTTTAATACTAACGAGAGCGGCCACGGCCTGATGAAAGCGGCCTGTTGGTAAAGCCCCCCAAAATAATGAACACGCGGGGCCGCTGTAAACAGCAGAGCCCTGGAGGAAATGAAAGGGACTTTGTGGAGTGGCCTAAACCAGAGGGTGATCTTTTGAAACGTTGAAGGGAAAAAGCTCCAGGCTGCTCGTAGGGCTGGAAAGCCAGGCCGGCGTCCTGGTTGCTTTGCCAGTTTAAAGGGTTTTTTTATTCCTTACCCGCGGCCTGCTGGGCTTTTCTGAAATGGCCCCATATAATCCTTTGAGGTGCCTCAGATGTGCCCCAGAGGCTGACACACAAGCACGGAGATGCGAAAATCGCGGCTCACATGGGCCCCAGATAAATAAGCAGGCCGAGGAAGAACAGGGCCCATCCCCTCCCTGCGGTGGGGGCCCCCCAGCGCCCCCGCACCGGCTCCGAGGCCTCCCTAGGCATCCATCGGGGCCACAAGGCTGCTTCAGAGAGCCCCGCAGGGTGGGGATGCGTTTTCTCCAAAGCTAACCCCACCCGGTGTCACCTTTAATCCTCAAGAGCCAGACTTCCAGAGGGTTCTGCAGGCGAGAGCCTGAGAGGGGGCGAGGGTCAGCCCCGCAGCGGGCCCCTGGGCCCAGGAGTCCCCGTTTAATGAGCCAGGCTGCACTCGGGCCCCTCCTCCACCTCAAGAGCCAGCCAAGTCGCACAGCTCTGCTGTTGTCCCGCACTCAGGCTCCCTCTAACCAAAGCCTAGAAACAGTGTCTGCTTTTTGGGACCCACGTGGATTGGGCTGGGCCACGGGGATCACTGGGGATCATCCGTCTGCCACGTCGGGTAGCCTGTGTGCAGGCCCTGGGCTTAGCGCCTGGACCGCTCTGAGAGGCCGTGAGCCTTCCACGAGGGGCCCTACACACCGCATACAAATATGAAGCCGAACGCCAAGCTGAGCGGGGAAGCCAGTCCCCGGACTCCGGGGCCGGTGCTTTTCCTGGGCCTGCGGTAACTTTTGCTCACGCCCCTGATTCACACCTCCCTGCCCTGAATTTCCACCAGGCCTCTCCGTCCAAGTTAGCAAATAACACAGAGAATCCAACTGGCAAGATTAAAGCACAGCTATGAATATGCATGACTTTGTTCAGCAATCAGCCCGAACCCTTTCCAGAAGAAGGGATCCGAGCATAATTTTCTGCCACATATTTAAATTCAAATTAGTCATTATTTAATGTTGGGACAAATCGCCCGAGAAGGTCATGTTTTCGGTGTAATGTTTTTTTTCTTGATAAGTGAGGCTGACTCCCCCGCGTGGGACGCACGCCCCGATAACACGTTTCTTTCCCTTTTTCCGCTGGTGCTGAAGACGTGACCCTGGAGACAGCGGTGACCGCCGTCACTCCCGCTTTCTTGCATAAATGCTCCCCTACCCTGTTCCTCCGTGTCCCCTGCAGTGACACCATCCCTCCGCCTGGCTCACAAACGGATCGGCCGAATCTTCGTGGTTTGGGGGGGTCCAGGTATCAGATGAATCCAGACGGTCCGAGTTCACATCTCACTCTGCCATTTCCAAGCTGTGTGACCTCACTTTAGCCTCTCTGGGCCTCAGTTTCCTCATCTGTAGAAAGGGGGGTATAGTAGTTCCTACGACATAGGTCACTGAGTATTACTGCCTGCAAGGTGCTGAGAAGCATGCTCATGGCAAGGGCACGTGCCCATGACAGTCCCCCATTACTACCAACATGGCCACCACGGCTGTCATCGCCCATACAACAGCCTCCAGCACCACCCTCTCCGTCCTCACTTTCCAGGTTGTATTTCACCCCCGCCACTACAGTGGCCTCCTCAC